GTCGGTCCACCACTGAGGCCTAACAGATGGGTCATAAGCACTTCATCGAACCGAAGTTCATCAGTGCCTCGCCACCTGTCATTCTCTGTCGCTGCAGATCGGGTATTTATCAATCAGGAATGGGCGCACACATGACCAAATATTCGAGGTCCTGATAAATTATCCCGTTCATCATCCCCAAAGGAAGACGAAGAAGAAAAAGGGGCGATTGCATGGACCACAGTGTATTGGTGCTGACGTTTCGGAAACTTCCTCGTTTCCATCATCAGAGTGGTGGGGCGTCTCTTCCTGCTTGCTCGAAGGTGTTCTGCCTCGCCGCCTGTCTTGTGTTATAGGCATGCCTGACGCACGAACTCTGACCTGCCTTCTGGCTGGGGATTGGCTTTGTTTCCTCCACGGGCGGCCAATGGCGCGCTCCTGTGACCTCTGCCCCCTGATCGGCTGTCGTAATTGCTGCAAATCCTGTGTGCCCATGGGCCCTCACCTCATAATCGGATGCACTGATCAGCTGCCGTTGCATGTGCGAATCACGCTCGGCTGTCTGGGCGCGCCGGTGGGGCGATGTCTCGCGTTGGTCGTGTGACCTCCGGCTGGCTCCTTCCCCCTGCTGTGAAGGTGACAACTGTTGGAGGAGCCGCGAGTCGCTCGCCAGTACTGTCGGCCCCGTCTGGACTGACTGGAGCCTTGTACGCAGCGCCTGGTAGGCCGGATGAAGATCAATAGCCCTGTTGATTGTGCCAACCGAGGACCAGCTTTCGAGCACCAGCCTAGCCATCTTGTCATGGGCTCGACCGAGGACACTTGCTTCCCCAAAGGCGAAACTATGTTTCTCCTGTTGCATGTGGCCATATACCAGTGACGGTCTATCCTCGCGGTTGACTGCAAGCTGGTGCTCATGCAGTCTTGTGCAGAGGCGTTTCCCCGTTTCACCAACATACCGTGCATTGCAATTTTGGCACGGTATGCTGTAGACCACTGCTGATTGTTCCGTTGCCGGTAGCGGGTCTTTGGGTCTCATTATCTGCTGTCTGATGGTGGATTCCGGTTTATGGGCCACTCCAATCCCAAAAGGGTTTAGGATTCTAGCTGTCGCCTCGGAAACATTCTTCACGTAGGGGATCGCAAGCCAAAACTTCGGCTTCTCACCGTCTGATCGTTGACGGGTAGTCTTTCGTCGGCACTCACGTATGAAGGATCGTGGGTAACCATTGGCTATGAATAAAGAATGTAGGTATTGTGTCTCCTCCTTTTTCCCGTCGTCGTCGCTACAGTGTGTTTGAACTCGTTGGAACAGAGTTCTCACACAACTTCGCTTGTGACCAATAGGGTGGTTACTTCGGAATTGGAGGATGCGTCTGGTATTCGTCGCCTTACGGTACACCGTTGTTCTTATCCTCCCACCAACCGTCCTTGCAACAGTCACGTCGAGGAAGGGCAATTGGTTGTTGTTCTCCTCTTCCATTGTAAATTGGATGTCGGGGAATATTGAGTTCAGTAAGACCTTGAAGTTCTGAACGTCGTTCCTCTTGATTACGACAAATGTGTCGTCGACATATCTGGCCCAGAATTTTGGGGAGTACGAACGGAAGACCAGTCGTTCTAGCCTCTGCAAAACGGCTTCAGCAATCAACCCAGACAGGTTGGATCCCATCGGTGTTCCCTTCTTCTGCTCGTAAGCCCGGTCTCCAAAAGTGAAGAAAGTCCTGAGGCACAATTCCAGGAGTTCAGTGATGTGCGTTCGCTTAAGTTGTTGGTCAACGTCATCATACTTTTCCTAAAGAAGCTCGTCAATTGTGCTGATAGCGAGGCCGGTTGGAATGGACGTGAATAATGAGACCACGTCAAACGATACCATCACCTCATCTGGTTCTATTTCTAGGTTCCTGATACTTTTCAGGAATTCTTCAGCCGACTTCACCGTCCATTCCGAGCCCTCGGTGAGGAAACGAAACCGTTGGTAAAGCCATTTTGAGAGTCCAAATGTCGGGGTGCCGCGTAGGGAGACTATGGGGCGTAGGGGAACTCCTGGCTTATGCACTTTTGGCAGGCCGTAGAAACGCGCCATGGCGGCATCTGTGGCTTTTGCCGTCCATGCCTCATTTCTTTTGAGGGCTCCTGCCTTCCTCAACTTGTCTATTGCTCTGTTTACGCTATTCACGTGCTTCTTGAACTCTCCAGTCTCCGAAAGCTCATAGGCACCTTGGTCCTCCAACAGACTTTGCAGTTTCGTCGTGTAATCGGTCTTATCCATGACAACAGTCGAGCGTCCCTTGTCGGCGGGCAGGGTGACGATATCCCTCATCTTCCGAATTCTCAGAAGCTCTTGGTCTTCAGTTTCGGAAATCGCCCTCTGAGGTTTGTGCCGGAGGAGAAGGTTTGACACTTGTTGCCGCATGGAATTTTCGCCCTCTTCGTTTGCCTCACACTTTTGGAGCGCTGATTCGAAGGATGCGATGAAGTCTTCTGGTCGAGCATCTCTCGTGTTGAATTTAGTGTCATAGGACAAAACCGCCAGCTGTTGCTGCGTGAGATGACGAGAGGAGAAGTTGTGAACCAGGACACTATCAGTAAGGGGCGGCGTTGGTGGACTTATTCTTTCAAACTTCTTAAGCAGTTGGCTGTCGCGCAACCTGCGGTGGCAATGTGCACTACTGAGTACGGTCGCTTCCAGGACTTCCATCTCGTGTTCAGTAAATATCAACTGGCAAGTGGAGAAATGCTGTTCTATCTCTCGTCGGTACTTACGGATGCGAGAGTGGCAGTCTTGAATCAAAACTCTGATCATCTTCTTCTTGAATTCGGCCATTGTTCGCTGGCAGAGGTCGGTCATCACTTATATTAAAGCGAGTAAACCGCACTCAGGACTCACCCAACTATCTTCCTCATCGGAAATGCACCACGATCCCCGTAGATGGGATTAAACGCAATGGCTGAGCCCGTTAGTTCCTGTACGTGCGATGTCATGAGACAGCCGCGACGAAGAAGGACAGACCTATGGTTCCGTGGATTATGATAATTCACCCGTCGTTGCCGACGATATCCACCGTGTGTTCCACAACAAGGTAGAGCAGACACGGTAACTTGCTTGTGGTTTAGTTTATAGTGAACTTGGACCTACGCTGCATC